TCGCGGATCGCCACTGCGGATGGAATACACAAGAAAAGAAAACAAACGATTGGACACAGAAAAAGCGCTGTCCCCCGCTCCCAAGGCGGTTAATTGCAGCCCTATTCCCGCGCCTCATCTTAATCGAAGAACTCAACGAGAGTGATTGCTCAACAGTTCTGATAACCGTTTAAGTTACTGACAATTACCTTCACAAAATGGAGCAGTAGATTCTTTCCTGTACTGAAATAATAGTCATATTGTTTTTTAAACACCCCCTTCTGAATTACTCTTGCTAAATTCTGAAAAAAACCCTCTACTAAGCAGGGAGGCACCTATTGCCCGCACTTTTTAAAGCGAGCCGTTCTACGCTACTCGAACCACTTTTTCAAAGAGCAATTTATTAAGTGAATTTCGAGGATTGTGTGCATAATACTAACAATAGAGTGACTTCTGAAACCAGTCTTCACCTAAACCACTGTTTCCGGTAACTCAGATAAACTGACCCTAAAAGGAAAGTAGTGCTAACAAATGCGGTAAAAAATCTGACTAGAAAAATATCCCCTAATAAGTTTCTTAGAACTATTATAGAAATTAGTATTATGCAGTGCGGCAGAAGTCAATGTGGTAATTTTTTTACGAAAAAAAGAACAGTTTTGATTTAAAGTAAAGTAGCTAAACCTAAGACTGGCGAATCACAACAGCTTCAGCACTGCAACATTTCAAAGCGTGTCTCAGTTTGTCTTCCTTTCGCTCAAAATTGAGTGAGCTTGATATAACAATTAGAACGGAACACCGTTAAAGCCCATGAACGCCATATCTCGTGCAAAAGACCATATCATTCAAAAGAACACAGGATATTTGTAGCCAAATGCAAAAAAAAATACCTTCTTAATATCTTCGGGAAGATTATTGAGCATATCTTTTGGTATATCCTCAATAGTTTTCGGCAAAAATTCGTCAACCTTGAAACTCGGATTAACTACTTCCCCACTAGTCATTTTGGCAGTTTCAAGAATTTTTGAAGGACTAAGAGACTTCTCATCTGCTGAGCGCGAAGGACCAGCCTTAAAATTTTATTAGCTGAAGATTGAGCGTTTGTCTAGAAATGAACATAAAGCCTTGGAATTTTCAACTGTAGATTTTCCCACAAACAAGGGTTCTTATCCACTAAAATACGGAATTATTTTGATTGGAAACTTTAAGTATTTGGATTTCTAAACTGGTAAAAGAAATAAGTACTTGTGGTAGAAACAGCCTTTTAAACTTTAGAAGCAAGGTGATAAGGAAAGAAAGTGTAAGTAATTGATGGCTATCCACTGCTTCTCTGTATCATAATTATTAAAAACTAAACCTCTTCTACTCCAGCTACAAGTTGTTCTGCTTTCTGGAGCATCCACTCTGTTATCTGCCTTGACGAAGAGTCTATACCTTCACGGAAACGACCAGCAGAAAGCGATATGTTGAAAATCGGAGGTTCCCTAAAATAGAAAAAAGTTAATTAATGAAATAATTTTGACTGATGCTCTGGTTCTCCAAACTCAGTAATATATAAGGTATCTTTGTACCAGGAACCTGACGACTTAGCTCTGTTTAAACCTCGAATATAGGGCCAACACATATTTAATATTGCGGTAGAACTATAAGATTTTATTTCAAAACTTCTGCCACTTTGCTGAGACTTGAAAACACAGTTAACGTGTAAGGTTTGAGCAGTCCTTTTATTCTAAATAAGGAAAGGTTGGTTTATTAAAACGCAGACGCAAAGAAAAAATATATGACTATTTAAATTTAACTACATGATCATACCGACAAAGGGCCAATGCAGATTGGTGACTAGAGGTAAGTTCAGCAAAAATATTTTGAAAAAGAAAAAGAAATTGCTCTAAATTTAAAAATTCATTTGAGCAGAAGGCTCAAAAAACATCAGCCACAATTTTTTGTAAAAAATTCAACTAATTAGATGTTACCTTAACTTGGTCCTCTAAAAGTCGTTTTGTTATTTCCTTAGATAACCCATCTAGCCAACTCCTGACGTCATCAAGAACAGTTAAGGGGATAGGAAAATTTTTTGACACGGCAATTGATGTTTGTTTGTCACGTGGCTTGACTTCTTCGTCATCAACACCTAAATTACCTCTACATTTAAGAAGCCGAAGTCTGAAGGTGATCGTAATGATTCTTACACGTATAAAGATCTAAAGACCGCTTAAGCTAGATCTTCCAAATTAACTTTAAAACGGCTGGTTGAGTGGGAAAGTATCAGTCTCAAAAAAAGAATTTAAGGAAAGTAAAACATTTATCACCTTTCGCAAGCTCATAAATCCATGTTGCCTGCGCAGGGAAACGTACTTGCAAAGTATCTAATGGTATTTTAGATAAATCTGCCATTGTCTAAATTTAACAAAATATTTAGTAGCAAAAAAAAATTCGTTAAGGATAAATCACAAGTTTTTTTCGCAAGCTGCTCTAGTGCACCCGTCGGAGTAAACCTTGAGAAATAGTCAAAAATAGGACTACCGATACAAAATCAGAATTTTTTTAGAACAAAATAGAAAAAAATGGACATATTAAGGAGGATCTGGTACTGAATTTACCAACAAAAGAGATGTTAAATTAGCAAGAAAGAACAAAGGAACAATCAACACCGATAAAAGTGAGTCCTAAAGACTCAGCTTTTTGAAAACCAGTTTACCACACTTCCTCCTGCACATGAAGTAACTTCTACTTGAAGAAGTAACGAAAAGGAGAAACAGAAAGCTGGAATCAAAACGAATTACCTGTATATTAAAGGATTCGGATAAAGCCTTCCCCAACTTCCCGCCTAAATTACGTACTGAGCGTATGTTTGTAGTGCGAAATAAAGTTGGTATCATGTCGCTGCTAAGCACCGTCTGTTCTTTTGGTTTATGCTTCGAACAAATCAATTTAGATAACATCTGCAAAAATCTAGCACGAACTGAGGTTGCTTGGTTAGTCAGTAAACTCCTAAATAAATAAAAAAAATTTACGCACCTTATTTATAGAAATACCAGCTGAACAATGAAACTGCGTCTCTTCCTTTATTCTTCTTCGTACCTGCTCCACAATTTCAGCCCCTACAGCCAACCGCAACTTGAAAAATTGATCTAAGATTCCTCGATCTTCCAAATATTGCTTAGGTTTTATCAAAAAACGCAGTTGTTTAACGTTAATCAAAAAGATTTTGTTTTTATAATTTTCCCAGCGTTTTCAGCTCAAGCAGAAGAAAGAAGTAGAAAGTTAGCCCACGGTTTCTAAAAAAAATTTTTTCCCTAGCCACCAGAGCGTGGCACCAATTGCAATAATTGACCAAATTACTGAAAATTTGCCTTTAAGCTTGACATTGTACTTCTTAAAGTAAGGGAAGAGAAACTCTCACTTTTTCTCCCCCTTCAACTGCAGCTTTTGCCATCCACTGACAAAGGTTTTTTACCCTGTCATACTGCCATTCAGGATTGTCAGCCGGTCTTTCATCCTGCTCATCAGCAATGTGCGTGGTTGGGAAATATTCTAATGAAGTGGCATACTGAAAGCAAAAACGTATTACCTTGTCGTAAAAACGATAAAAATGTTGAAGTTTTAGGAGCCATACTTCATGTTCAATGATCCGAATTGGTTTAAAGACTATACTGATAGGAATGGGGGGGAATTATGGAGAAGCAACAAGTGATCCAAATATGAGTAAAACAAGTTACAGCTATAAAACCAATTCATACACTTCCGTAAAATTTTAAACTACAGTGGGAAAAACAACTTTGTCAAATTATTAGCATACAGCTCTACATCTGAGACTTCTGTCTTTAAAAAATGGTTTTAAGAACTCATGCACGGAATAGGCAAATTATTGCGCAAAAAAAATACCCTTTGTGAAACATTTTCGCTTTCAATCACAAACTCAACTAATTCCGTAAGGTCTAGAAACGCTTCGTCGATTGAAGCTTTTTCAACAATTATACGACTGTCAAAGTTGTTCAACACATTAAAAATTTCATCCGACGCATCCCTGCAATTAATAGCTAGAGAAAGAACCTTTTTACTGCAAAGTAAAATTTATAACGAGTAAGAAGAAACAAGTAAAGTTAGAAGTACAGAGAAATCTTATTTCCAAGGATCCAAAGACGAGAAGAAACTAAAAAATAATAAAAAAAAATCAAAAATGTTTTAAAATTACCTGTAACGAGAAAGATCAGCTTTGTCTGAATGCTCACACTGCGGAACGTAGCATAATGTTAGCTCGGGACAAATTTTTTTTGCTTCGTCGCCGAACATTCCTGAACGTCCCACACCATATTTTCGAGCTTCATAGGAAGCAGCTAAAATCCTGGAAACTGAACATAGAAACTATTAAATGACTGAAAGGAAAGAAAGAAGTAGTAATACATCAGTAAGAATAAGATCCGTCCTAGAAGCAGACGTTTACATGTGGAGAGTAATGCCAATAATAAATAAGCATTACCCTCAAAAAGTAACAGCAATTTATAAAAGTTTTTGTAAGAATATTTGACATAAGTACAGAAATGGTGGACACTTAAACAATATAAAAACTGCGAAAACCAAGCAAGAGAAAAACGTTAATTTTCTGAATTACATAAATCTGGTAAAACAAAGGCAGTTTTCCCAATGTTGAACTTGAATATGCGCAAAAGCCGACTCTTGTTCACACAATGCTTCAGCGTTGTTTCGGTAATATGAAGAAAAATCATAACGTTTGCAAAAGTGGGGAAAAACCATACCCTCCACCTTTATAGTTGCTATACTGCACCACGGCTACTGGTTTCCCCCAGAGATGTGGCTGTAATCTTTGCTCCACTTGTGCATAAAAACAATCCATGTCGATTAAAGCGATTGTCCTCTGCTGCTTCATGCTTCATTAGTGCACGTCAAAAGAAAAAAAAGAAAACGTTAATCTGAAATGGCACTGAAAAGCAGAACAACCAATAACACTCCAGAAATTTGTAACATAGGCAGGCGAACTGTGTTACAGACTAACTACGACAACTTAGGTGAAATAATTGGCTTGTGAATAGAGCTATATAGGAAACAGATTCTTGTCGACGAAGAAAACAGGTACTGGACAACGTTTCTAGCTGCTTTAACAAAAGTTAACGGACTTAGCACATATATTTACAAAGTATCGCGTGGAATGGGATTTAAAGCTAAGAGGAAATGATGGAAAGCTGTAGTTAGACCTTCACATTAGAGTTGGCATATGCAATTCATAGATGTGCTAGACAAAACATTTGGCATTGATCGTAAATTTAGAAATCAGAAAAGACGTAGAGAATGGAAAAAAATTATTTTGATATGACAGTTCCTGTCTGGTATTAATATTATAGACAATAACAAACAATCTTCAAGACATAGGAAATTCATTTACCGCGTCTTTAGTTAGACGCCAATTTCTATGCCATATTCCTTCTAAATATGAGGTGATTTGTCACTGACGGAGCTGACAAAGTATACGATGGATCGACATAAATTTATGGTAGGTAGCGAATATAAAGCAAGCAGGAAAAAAAACATCTTCAACATACTGCTGGTCGAAAAACTTCTGAAAACTTTAGCGTTTGTAAAGGAGCAATGAACAGTATTAGGAACGCTGCCATCGACGAATAACGACGAGTTACCTGAGCGCGTAAATTTTTGAATCGACGCAAATGAAAGATGGTTCCTAGGATTACGGTTTCACCAGCAGATGTAACAACACTTGTTCGAAGGTTTTAGATCATAAAAAAGCACATAGAGGTTTACACTGGGCAATGGACGGTACTGATCTTCAAAGGGTTGACATAATGTTACACCCCTCTAAGACTTCTGTAACTGTTCAATACACTGAAAATATTTTTACGTATCAAAGACCAAAAAGCGAGAATTACAAATATTAAATCAAATATTTCAGAAACCTCAAAATAGTATACAGTTGTTATGCGATACGTTTAAAAGTCTTGAAAGTCAAAGCTGATACTATAAACAAATCCGGCTTCTTATCAGAGAACATCTTAGAATTATGGTTAAGAAGCCCTTGAGTCAAGCAGTATATTATGCCGATGGATATTACGCAGAAGTTTTCAATAAAAAACTATGACAAAAAATTTTGTTTTTTTTAGTTTTTTTTTGCTGAACTTGCCCCTGTAAGTTATATTTTGTAGCTTCACCTTAACATCGCTAAAAATAAGCTTCTAAACAACACCTTAAACTAGAAGCACAAATACAAAAAGTTTGGTACAGGTACTATGGCGCTTTCTAAAACGATAGATGAACGCAACAAATGGTATAAACCAGCTGAATCCTGCTAGTTCAATGCTTCAAAATTTTGGACAAAAAGAGCACAGGCATAAATTTTTGAAGTTTTAGAACTACAGTGAACTTATCGTTAAATCTTCAGATAAGTAACAATAAAAGTTTTTTGAGTTTTTTATTCAAGTAAAAGAATTGTTAGGCAGAGGTGTTGTCACGGTTAATCGCTATGAGTTACAAAGGCTGACATCTTATCAAGATCTTCTATTACAGTATCTGGCATAAAAGATGTGAATTATTTAGGCTTTTAATAGCGCTAAAGTTTTAGCAGTTACACACCTTTTTGTTGATTTAGTTAATAACAGTTAATAACCGCTGATTTTTAGAATCATTAAATCAGATAGTACTGATTCACTGTTACAAGTTTAGGTTCTAACAATAAATTTATAGTTTATATAAGCATGTTTAACGCTTCTTACAATTTATTACTACAACATTAGCTGCTTTTTTGATATTATTGACTTAGTTATACACTTAACTACTTCTGACATAACAAGATGACTAAACGTTCTCATCGGATAACAGCTGTTTAAGTTTTCTACCTTTTAAAAACGCTTTCTATATCATTATTAGCGACATTCCAGAACTAATAATCAAAAAAAATTCTATTCTCCAATGGTTGCATCTACATGTGAGACCTTTTCGACTTTTATATCAGTTATTTAATCTATGAAAATACGGTAACAATTTTTAAACTGTTTTTTTTTTTTTTTTTTTTTTTTTTT